ACCCTCAGCCCCAAGCCCTACCAATCCGAAGCCTTACCCAAAGTAACCAGTTTACCCAAGAAGAAAGTAGTGGTTGCACCAGATAGCGCAGTATGTTTGCCTTTTTCGGTGTTCAGGGTACCTAGTAAAGCAGTTTCTGTACCAAATAGCTTGGTATCTACCGTTTTTCCTGTGTTTAGGTTATTCTAGGTAGGAGGCCCCAAACCCTGAACCCTCAAGCGTTCGAGCCTCCTGAGGCTGCCGGCTTCCACGGTGCACGTCCAGATCTCAGGTTAAGGTTTAGGTTTAGGGTTTTAGGGTTTTAGGGTTTAGTGTTTAGGTTTAAGGTTCTAGGGTTTTAGGGTTTAAGATTAGGGTTTAAGATTTAGGGCCTAGGATTCAATATTGAAGGGTTGTGCCCACAGACGTTTCAAGTTCTGTGTTTAGAATTTAGTGGTTTGCAAGAATTAGGGGCCCTTTTTTGGAAGTCCCATTGAGTCCTCTAACGAGGATTGCAGCATCTTGCCAGTTTCCTCAGTTCTGTCTTCAACCCGCATTTAACCCCAGGTTTATGGTTAACGGAGTTAATGTTTTAGGGCAAGGGGTTCAAGGTGTAGTGCCTGACAAAGAGTAGCGCACGCTGCGCAAGAGTGCAAGAGGCTTGGTTCATGGGGGCATGGTTTGCTCTCACTCTCAATGTTCATAGTACAGGTACTCTGTAATTGGCGGGCAGGTCGTTGAAGCTTCTCTTGTTAATTCTACTTGGAGCCTGAGCCCTATCCCCAAGCAGACCGTGTTGGAGCCCCTAACATGCCGGGAGGGATGGCGCCTCAGGCACGGCCCCGTTCGCTTGGGTGCCACCACTCACTCACTTGCTCTCTCACTTCAACCCTGCCTGGACCTCAAAAGTAGGTATAATAATCATATCCTGAAGATGCCTGACTGAAGATGCCTGAAGCTTATTAAAAAAAAAAGGAAGGCTGCTATTCCAATCGTTCTCCTGGTTCAGACAGTCAGCTGTGACCCGTCACATGTCCAGACTTGGGGAACGCCAGGGACTTATTAGGGTTATAACTAGAGAAATTACTCGTAGCACTGCCCAAGCCTTCCCCTAATCCCTACACCTCAATCCCTAACCCCTAAAACTTTAACCCTGAACCCGAAACCCTAAACCCCAAACCCTCATCCCTACCTAAACTCCAACAGTATGTAAAATAATAGCCCTAAATCCATAGTAATAGCCATAAAGGCCATTATTTTACATACTTTCGGGGTCCAGGTAGATCTTCACACCTATAATCTCTAAATCCTGGCTCATGAATCCCAAATCCTAGACCTAGATCTTTACACCCTAAACCCTAAACCTTCAACCTTAAACCCTAAACCCTAAACCTTCACACCTAAACAGCCCTAAACCTTCAACCCTAAACCCTAAATCCAAGCCTTCCCCAAGGCCGCGCGGCGAAGAAGACCCGAGCGCAGGCCATCGTGCGCCAGGCCAAGGCCATCGGAGACATGTTGGGTACCCTTTTAAGGGGGGGTTATAGGGTATTTATGGTTTAGGGTTATAGGGTTTAGGGTTTACGGTTATAGGGTTATAGGGTTTAGGGTTTAGGGTTATAGGGTTTAGGGTTTAGGGTTATATAAGGGCATGTAGGGACATAGGAGGTTTAGGGTCTAGGATTTAGGGTTTAAGGTTTGCGTGCTATATGAGCCATAGTCTAATCTCTTTAAGGGGGGTTATGTAGGGGATTATTTAGGGCACTACTATAGAGGTTCTAACGGGGATGCTAGGAGTTTAGACCATCGATTATCTAGAAGGTAACTAGGGGCTATATAGTGTCTGAAAAGGGTGCAGGGTTGAAGGGCGTGGGATGTAAGGGTTTGAGGGTTGAGGGTTTGGGATTTAGGGTTCGGGTTTAGGATCTAGCCGCGTTTAGGGCGTAGGCACCTGACAAGGAAACCCCTCTAGTGAGAAGGGGGATTTGAGCAACCCCAGCCCCTAATTCGGGCCCCAGAAGTATCATATGACGAGAATGGCATCATAGGACCACACATTCCCTTTTTTTTTTATCCAGAAGCGGCCTAAGTAGGGTTCCACATTAGTTTGGGCAGGGCACAAAGGAAAGAGGAGGTCTCCGCTCTGCTTCCCTGAGCATCTGACAACTCCAAAACCTCATCCCTCAACCAGCCTAGAACCTGCAAGGGTTCCCTACAGCCTGAGCCCCTTTGGGAGGTTAAGGGAAGAGACACATGGCGTTGCAAGTATCCCAAATAGCCTACCTGTAGCCCTAAAATCCCAAACCATGTCCAGGAACCTTCTAAACCCCTAAACCCCTAAACCCTAAACCCCTAAATCCTAAATACCCTAAACCCTCCACGTAAGCCAGGACCACATTAACATCGGCACCATCGGCCACGTCGACCACGGAAAGACCACTCTGTCTGCTGCCATCTCCTTGGTGTGCGGCCAGCTCGGGGACCCGGACTACAGCGAGGGGATCGTTTAGGTGTTAGGATCTAGGTCTTGGATTTAGGGTTCATAACATGGAGATTGCAGGGTTCAGGGTTGAGGATTCAGGGTTCGGGCTTGTGGCTTCGGAAAATAGGTGTGTCAGTGTTCATCTGCTTGCATACGTGCAGCTGTGCAAGTGTCGTACAGAGATTCTACTTGTCTGGGGACGTTAAATCATGATGCTCTACATCTGCTTCGTCCAGGGGAGAGAGAGGCTGCATGGGGCTCACACAATCAAGCATTTTGCAAGGTGACGCCATCCCCCCAAAAGTACAACATCCCAGGGTTTAAGGAGCTAATGCGGATTATATGTGTATTGAAAAGCCTAATAGTACTCTAAATCTCGGGAGGATACTCTTGGGGGGATAGTATTAAAACCCTTAATTGCAGCCCTAGAAACCCTTACTTCCTTCTAAACCCTAAACTTTACGTAAACCCTACAAGCCTCTCATCGTCAACCTTCTAACTCCTATTGTAACCCTGTTGTTAATCCCCTGGCTTCATCTATTACCGCGGAGTGTCTGAAGCTCACAGTTCTTCTTCGGCATCCTAGCAGGCTTCATGCATGTGAGCTTCATAGTCTAAACTCCATAACTGAGGGCTATATATGGGAGTATATTGGGTTTCATTATAGGGCTCATTAAGGGAGTTTAGACTATAGCGCATGTAGTCCTTCTTCCGTACGTGGTGTACCTCCATGTATTAGGTTCTCCCACTTCATGGAAGTGTGATTATTGAACTTTGTCGCGTAATCCCTTCCCCCTGATAGAAAAAATCTCACCAAATCCACCCTCCTGATAGCAGATCTTCCCAATACTGTACCAACATATGGCATGGGAAGAATTTGTTCTTGCGGGGTGGCGGGTCGACGGCCGCAGAGCACTTGGGCCACACAGGGAGCTTCGCAAGGAGAAGAGGCAAGGGCTCACTGCGATGCAGAGGGAGCGCATAGACCTGCTCGAGAAACACGAGGAGGTGGCGGACTCTGGGATGAAGGGGGCCGATGAGGAGCGGCACCAAGTTCTGAAGGCCAGCAGAAAGATGCATGAGCAACAGCAGGTAGAGAAACTCCGCAAGGAACAGGACCGGATTGGAAGCCATCAGGTCTGTGGAACAGAGCCAGCGTATCCGGCAGATGGACGAGTACATACATATTATACTATAGTAGTTTCCATTTTCTTTTCCATTATCCCAATATAATCCCTATATATCCCCTATATAACCATATTATACTATAGCATAGAGGAGCTGAAGACTTACTTTGGCAAACAGCTCGCGGACTCACGGAAGGGGTTTAATTTTCCTGCTGCGTCTGGCTTGTTGATAATTAAGAGACTAAATGGAGTAATGTAGGGTATTATTATGATTTGGAAATCCTGCTGATTACTCCGTACTCTGTACCCACATTATCGTAACTCAAGTTCCGAATAGCAGCAAACCAGTATCAATGGTTTCTCCACACCTTGCCTGCAATCTGCCTGCAATCACGCGAATAGATGTTGTTAGCTGGGATGTACGGTATGGATATTAAAGAATATGGGCGTCAGCAGTCCAGCACTTGCACGGTAAAGAGTTGTATGCGGCGTCATCATTGCAATATCCGCATTGGATATTACTGCTGAAACGCACAACATTCAGCACATAATTGGGCTACAGGGGGGAGAAGGGATTGAATTAGGTATGCTGGCTTGTTTGCATCTAGCCTGAAGAAAGATGTCCTTAGCTAGGACGGGTCACAGGAGTGGTGGATGCTGTGGCTTGGGACTAAGTTCACATCATATCCCACCCTCTTGTTTGCCTTGGTAACCCAAACCCTCAAACACCAAGCCCTAAAAACCACATGCCCCTCAAGCCATAACGCTTACAACCATATGTCCTCTCAACCCTTCAACCCTCAAGCCTAAAAGCCTCAAACATTCAAACCCTTGAAGCCAGAAAGCCCTAAGCACTGAAAGCCAGACAGATAGATAGATATATGGTACTTTCCCAAAATAGGGGGACCCCAATGTAGATCCCGATATACTATAGTCATCTATAGTCCTTATTATGGGGAGCGCTAAAATGGTACCCCTAATTTTCCGAAAGACCCATATATTAGATCACCAAGGGGTACCTTTTTGGGGGTCCCCAGCATAAGGACTATAGTATCTTGGGATCTATATTGGGGTCCCCTGATTTTGGGAAACTACCATCTATTAGATCACCAAAAAAAACACCAGTTTTCCATGCCATGTTCTGTCCAACCATCCCGAGCCTACTGGTGCTTAGCGGGGAGTGGGGGAGTGAATATAGGAATCATTATACGGGTGTATATATGGGGGACTCTATAGGGATTATTATATATATGGGGGACTTTATAGGAATTGTTTTATATAGATGGGGATTCTATAGGGATTATTATAGGGATGCACCCCCCCAAGCCTAAACCCTAAACCTTACATCCTACACCCTAGACCCTATCATAGGGATCCACTCCCCGACTCTCCCTCAAGCATCCGTCAGTGAGGTTCAGCACCTCGGATGACACGACCAAGAAGTCCTACGAGGCAGGCGTTAGTCAGCGATATTGTCCTCCATGTACCCTTTCATGGGGACTATAGGGTCCCTACTTGTGAAGCCCACCCTAAACCGCAGAGCGCCTACTTGTGAGGGTGATGGCAGATGGGGGGTCGTGGAGGATACCCTGCACTTAGGGCTCAGGGTCTATCAGTGGGGTCTTGAGCCCAACAGGAGAGGGACAAGGGTTTAGGGTTTAGGGTTTAGGGTTGTAGATACTTGGGGGCTTCTCTCTAAGCCTCAATATGTAGGTTACAGAGTCATCATGAGGTCTTCCAGGTATATGTAAGATTTTCCTGGAAATGCAGAATGAGCCCGAACCCCCCAGCCCCTGTCTAAGGCAACTCAGAACCCTAGACCGTGAACCCTAACCCCACCCACTATCTTGATACTGGGGCTTAGTAAGTAGGGAGTCAGGGAGCATATTCTTAGGGATTATTCCTTGATTCCTTACCAACAACCAGTGATTTATGTACCCATTGTAAAGGCTCCGTTCGTAAAATCGCCCCGGAACCCTAAACCCTAAACCTGGCAGGAGATCGACAACGCCCAAATTTTAGGAAAACCCCAAATCCCAAACCATCCCAAACCCTAAGCCTTAAACTTCTGGCAGGAGATCGACAACGCGCCGGAGGAGCGTGCCCGCGGTATCACCATCAACGCCTCTCACATCGAGTACGAGACCGAGACCAGGCCGTTTGTGTTTTTTGTTGTTGGCAGGCTGGGTAGGCCCCTGGGATATGTAATATTTTCCCTAATGGCTTTAATAAGGGACCCTATATACTAATATTTTTCAAAGGGTTTCAGGGGCCAACCCAGCAGGGTTTAGAGTTACTGTAGTCTCCATAGGAATTACTTTTTGAGACCGAGACCAGGACACAGGAGTTTCCTGGTAGGGTTGTTCAAGGGTTTAGAGTTTAGGGTTTTAGAGTTTAGGGTTTAGGGTTTAGGGTTGTTCAAGGCTTGGCATTTATGTACCGGTTCTTAGTAGGGAACATGTAAATAGAACCGCTGTATAATCATGTTTTCCCTTATTCCCTACTCAGAACCAGTAAATGTAGGGTTCAGGGTTGGGGGCTTGGGCTTTTTTTTTTCTGATTTGTATAGGACCGCAGATCGCAGCCTCCTAGCAGTTCTGCGAAGGTGTGGTCCAGGGCCTCAAGCGATGACCTCTAAACCCTAAATCCTAAACCCTGAACCCTAAATCCAAAACCCTCAACCCTAAATCCTAAACTCTGAACCCTGAATCCTAAACCCTCAACCCTAAATCCTAAACTCTGAACCCTGAATCCTAAACCCTCAACCCTAAATCCAAAACCATCCTTGC